TTCCTCTAAGCTGAAATTTGTCTCTGGCCTCTAGAACAAAGAAGAGCAAAGCATTCTTCTGTTGTCTATGGCAATCCTTTAAATACTTGGAAACAGCTATCCTGTCTTCCTTTAGTCTTCCATTTCTGTAATGAATCAGAACCATCAATATGAGACAGTTTCTGGGTCTTTCTTCTTGGTTACCCCACCTAAAGTGTCTCTTTATATCTCAATGTCCCTATTTCATTGTAGCACTCAATGAATTGTACATTACACAATGTATCAGATGTGGTTTGGCAGGACAATTTAGTAGACCCTATAAAGGCTTGTTTTATTTTGCTTTTTTCTTTATTTTCCTTAGGACAAGTGACAGGTTAATTGTGTCATTATAAACATATTAATATGTGCTGACATATTAGTAAATTTTGAATGATGTTAAATGAAGATTTTCACCCTATCTGGAAATTAAATGTATTCTACATTTATTCACCTTACATAGAAGAGTCATAGGTAATTATTTCAAAACAAGTAATAAATTTGGACCACATTTTGTTTAACTTTTTTGCTAATTCAGATATAATTTCTAATTTCTTATATAATGAAAAAGTAACACTGATTAATCTGTATGTTTTTCCTAATTCAATATCTGCCTTCTTGTCTTACTTTATTTTTACTGGTATCTTAAAGTATGAGATTTTTCCAAGGATGGAATACTTCCATAAAAACTATCAAACTGCAATTCTCACAATGTAAGAATTTTAAATAATACTGTATTGATACAAACTTTTATTCTTGGGATCTATGATTGGTTATTGCTACTGAGATTATCAATAAATACACAAAGGATTCTTCTGAATGAATTTGTCTTTTATTCCAGTAAATTCAATAACTTTACTGACTTTAAAAAAAAAAAAGTAAATAACTTTATTAATGTTTTCCAGAGTCAGAAGTTGAATTGTACACTATATAATGTTTTAATATTTTTTAAGATGTTAAGAAACTATGGTAGTGCTTAAAATAATTCTTTTTTACCACTGACCAAAAATAAATCTTGGTGATTGTCATATTGCTACTAATCTTATGCTTTCAGATGAATGCACTTATATTCTTACTGGCAAGGTGAAATCTTACATGAAATATAGGTGGCTCGGTATGTACTGGAGTGGTTTATATTGAATTACCACTTGGTTCTATTCTGTGGGTCCTCTGGTTCAGTTGCACCAATGCTATCCAAGCATAGAAGCATTCTGATTTAAAGTATCTATTCTTGGTTGTAACACCATTTATTTAAAATATGTAAAGATGTGTTTATTGTGTCACTGAAGCATACAGAATTAGAAATGAAGATGAATAATATACTTTTATTACATTGAATTCAGAGTCTATCTGGAAATGTTTTAAATTTCATGCTGAGTACTTCTTGTCAGTATTAGGACCATTATCTTCTTGTCAGTATTAGGAATTTAATTTTTGTAAAGATAAATCTCATTATACAAAAACCTGTCAACAAAACATAATTTAGAGAGGAAGTCATGATTTTACTAAAATAATTTACATTTTAAAGTAATTTAATTCAATTCTAAAACTTTAAAGAAACATAGTCCTAGAATGGAATATAGTGAAGAATATATTACAGTTGGTAAGAATACAAGATCATTTTAGAATGTATATAAATAGATTTTCTGTGATAGTATTCAAAGCCTAAGGCAGATGTGAAGGAGATTGAAGCTAGACAGAATTGGAAGAAGTCTCGAAGACTTTTTTCTGATCCCAGTTCTGCCATATTAGCAGGGTGTGGTGTTAGATAAAGGCTCAGCCCCTCTGGGCTGCAGTCTCCTCTTCTCTGAAAAGTAGGAATTGAACTTCAGTGATTTCTCATGTGTTTTCCAGTTCTAAAATGTTTTCATTTAAGGAATGAGCCATAATGAGCCTCCAAGCATTTACATCTCTTGATATACTGGCTTGGCCCTTCCTTTCAAATTCTTATTCTTAAACTCTTTTGAAACTTTAAAAGAGATTTCCTTTGCATTTTGAAATGTTGTTGATCTTTTTCTGAGAAGCAAATCAACCTTTAAAGTACCAAAACTGTCTCTTTAAACTATCATTAAATTATAATAAGATAGAACCCTTTGCAATGATCTGGCCCAGTGAATCTGCTGGTTTTTATTTTATGATACTTTAGTCTTTTTGTAGACAAAATCAGCAAGAACAACTCTGTTAACTTGGTTAAGAGGTTTTTTCCCTTAAAAAATAATTTGGACAGGATTGTTGTTTAAAGGATCAAGTCTCAAAATGTTTGATCACATACAATTGTGCAACAATCCAGAAGAAAACCTAATATTGTTGGTTGCGTTTTTCCCCTCTCACATTTTCTGTATTCAGAATAATAAATACATTTAATCTTTTTTCCTCCATAATTACACAACCTTTGAATATGAGTTCCAAAAATGACAATGTTGATCAGTTTTTATTTAAAACTGATTTTAAAAATTCATATATATAAAATAGGGAAATAACTTTTGTGCAGGAAAAGAGAAGATACAGAAGGCGGGAAAAAATGAACACAATTATGAAAGTCTTCAACTCTGGTTTCTCTGTGTATAAAAGCTTCAGATTTTATTTATACTTTTACCGAAAAAATTTAAAATTAAATAACATTCCTTGAAGCAGGTATACTCTAACATACACACACATATGTGACATTGAAATATATTGGTGAAAATAGTCATGGTCTGCCCTCAAATTTTTACTCTCCTTGGTTTATGTGATAATCTTAAGTGTGTATTTGTTTGAAATTTACAAACGGTGGAAACACTTTTTAAAAGACTCAGTATATTAGCATGTGTTAAGGGGGATTTCTTATTTTCTGACTAACATTTCAGTATTTTTAATTATGAGAAATCATGTAACCCAGACTCATGAATTTTGGGGCAGTGGAAATTATTTCCTTTGACTCTTTTTTCTGCATATCATCAATTTGCTTTTTACTCATGTTTCTTCTACTGTCGCTGTAAGCTTACTTGTTGTTTTTTCTTTCCTTTTCTTCATGCTGTCGTTTAGAGCCCTACAGAGAGACAAGTATGGGAGTAAAGCTAAACATTGCATATCAAATGTAATTTTTTTTAGTTCACTTTTATTGCATCACATATAGATGATGTAGTTATTAAAAACAGTTCATCTCACAATTTAAAAACTAAAAAGCCTATGAATCAACTTATATAAATATATGTTAATAGAGATTAGACGCTTTTGTTGTCTGATTCTTTTATTGTCACATAATCAACATAGTTGTTAAGTTTCATGTAATGTTTGTGTGAGTTAAATTGTTTTTAAATTAAGCATTTATTTTTGCTAAGTAATTCATAAACTTTTAATTTTTATTAGTACATTCCATCATAAAAATGTGTCACGTGCAACATATCCACTTTATTTTACTATGGCTGTTTTCAGCCCTTACCTAATGCATTGATAAACCGAAATAATAAACACGTGTTTCAATGCATCAGCCATCCAACCATAGCCATCAAGCATACCATAGCAGCTTCTGCAAAAGCTATCACCCATCACATACAGCCCTTTAAGAAGCATTTACTTTTATTTTTTCTTAACATTGTGGATTTGTCTACAAGATATAAAATGAAAATAAATTGCTTCACCCTATGTCTGTGATGGCTGCTTATTAATACAATTTATGCATTGCTAATTTTGAAAACTGTCCTAGTTGAATACACAGTATGCATCAGGAGTCCAAATAAAAATTGACATATTTGAAACACATAATTTAAACCAGTAATGAAACTAGTTGGGTTTTGATAAATAACTGCATCACAGATATAGAATGAATGCTGTATTTTCACAAGTTACCAATATATTAAGAAGTTTAATAGAATTCTCCAATTAATTTTTCTGTAAATAAACACCCTTTCTTATTTACCAGTATTGGTTAAATGTGTTTTTTTCATTTTGTGGTTGCATTTGAAGTGATTTATGAAACTACTATAGATTCTCGGATTTCTGTTCGTTCAAGGGAAGGCAAAAACCTTGAAGAAATATGTGGTCAGATTTATTTCACTGCAGCTGTTTCTTACCAGAATAAAATGTTTATCCTCTTTTAAACCCAAACTTTAACATGCACACAAATCCATCATTCATTACACAATGGTAACATTAATACTGACACAATGTTTTCAGGCACCAGATACCTGTGTCTTTCCACATTCTTTTGTAGTATTACCTAATGACCCTAAAAAAAATCTCTGATGGGATAGTATACAATAACATAGCATATAATAACAGCCAAAGTCCTTATAGCAGAAAAAAAAATTGGAAAGTAAATCCAAATACTTTTGTTTTGAAAATTCCTAGGTGTCAGTTCTTTTGACGTGCCATTTATCTGACTAAACATTACCTCATGACCTCATCATTCTGACAAATTTAACATAATCCTTTTGTGGTTTTCTATGTAGGGATTATTTTTAATCTTACAAAATTAAGTATCAATTTATTAGACACTGCTTATTGCTTTTACTTTTGACCAGTATATTCAAAGTACCACACATGAATTATGTTAATATTATACCTATTTTGATGTTAAGACAATATGTAAAATTAAAGGTAATGAATTATTTAACTGACTTTGATGTGTATAAATTGAAAGCTATGAATGACTATACCAAAATTTTGTGTTATTTCGTCAAGTTATAACCAAATATACTTCAAATAATGTCAGCCAATGTTTGTGTGGCAATTGCAAATTGATAATTTATAGGTTTTTAAAAATTCTTTTAAAGATCTACTTTAAATATGATTTTCCCATTTATATGATTTCAATCACTGGTCCAATTATACACATATATAGATTTAATAATATTTTAGGTTTCCTTCCAAACATTTTATACTTAAGTAAATGCTAGCAATTTATACATATTTCATAGTCGATGAATGTTTTTGCTTCTGTGTTTGTGTGTGTGTTCTATGACTTGTTGGATATAAATGTCATAGTATCTTGTAATCTTTTTCAGAGGGGCTTCTGAACAATGCCAGGGATACAAGTGTCATGGATACTCTACCACTGAATGGTAACCATGGCAATAGTTACAGCATTGCCAGCGGCGAATACCTGAGCAACTGTGTGCAAATCATAGACCGTGGCTATAACCATAACGAGACCGCCTTAGAGAAAAAGATTCTGAAGGAACTCACTTCCAACTATATCCCTTCTTACCTGAACAACCACGAGCGCTCCAGCGAACAGAACAGGAATCTAATGAACAAGCTGGTGAATAACCTTGGCAGTGGAAGGGAAGAAGATGCCATTGTCCTGGATGATGCCTCCTCGTTTAACCACGAGGAGAGTTTGGGCCTGGAACTCATTCATGAGGAATCTGATGCTCCTTTGCTGCCCCCAAGAGTATACTCCACCGAGAACCACCAGCCACACCACTATACCAGAAGGCGGATCCCCCAAGACCACAGTGAGAGCTTTTTCCCTTTGCTAACCAACGAGCACACAGAAGATCTCCAGTCACCCCATAGAGACTCTCTCTATACCAGCATGCCGACACTGGCTGGTGTGGCCGCCACAGAGAGTGTTACCACCAGCACCCAGACCGAACCCCCACCGGCCAAATGTGGTGATGCCGAAGATGTTTACTACAAAAGCATGCCAAACCTAGGCTCCAGAAACCACGTCCATCAGCTGCATACTTACTACCAGCTAGGTCGCGGCAGCAGTGATGGATTTATAGTTCCTCCAAACAAAGATGGGACCCCTCCCGAGGGAAGTTCAAAAGGACCTGCTCATTTGGTCACTAGTCTATAGAAGATGAGACAGAAATTGAAACCAACAAAACTGCTAACATCTTGTTGACTGTTCTGAGTTGATATAAGCAGTGGTAATAATGTGTGTACTCCTAAATCTTTATGCTGTCCTCAAAAGACAAACACAAACTCTCAGACTTTTTTTTTTTTTTTTTTAAATGAGATTTTTAGGTCAGCCCAGGGGAGAAAGATAACTGCTAAAATTCTCCTGTACCCCATCCTTTCTTGTCCTTTCCCCTTCAGATGGAGACTTCATTATGTTAATGAACAAGATATGAAGAAAATGGCACTCATTGTGGCCTTGTTGAATTACGTTGTGTCTGTTTTAACATCTCTGATGCTCTGTTACTAAAATTACAAGGACCTGCTTTTTAAAAGGCCAGAACAGTTGTCTGAAATTAGTAACAATGCTGCATCTAGATTGGAGTGCTGCACAAGCAAACATAAAAGCAAAGCAAAACTGTATCACATAGGGTTTTCGGTCACTCACAGCCTGAATTCACCACAACTGCAATAGCTGTGGAAAACAAAATAAAACAACAAAATTAATAATGAAATGGAGGGGAATTCTAGAATTATATGCTAAATGCATATTTTATGATTTGCTGTATTAACTGATGATAAAACTAATGGCAGAAAAAAGCTGAACAATTTCTATGTAATGTACAGATACTAGCATTGCACATATAGTCTGCTTTCTGTTCCTCCAGAATTTGAGTCCTGTTAATGTAGTAGAAAAAAAAAAATTTCTTTTTCTTTTGTGCTGGTCTTGCAAGTTTGTCTACCAGTAAGAGAGCAAAGTTTCCTTCCTTTCTTCTCTTTCTTCGTTTTCTTTCTTTTTTTCTTTTTCGCCTTTTTTTCCTTTAAAACTTCGCCTGGCAAAAAATAAATAAATGAAACTATCACTTTATAAGAATCATTTTCTAGTAATGCAAACAAATTATTTTTTACAAAAAAATAAAATAAATAAAATTAGACTTCCTTCCCTCACTATATATCTTTATGCAGTCAGAATATTTCCAACAGTGTTTTTTGCAAACTAGAGCAGGACAAACTTTTATGTTTACAGGGCACATCTGTTGTAATGCAAAGCATATTTGGCAAGCAGTTCATCACCAGGACACTAGCTATGATTCTAGATGTCAAAAGGTGTCTATAGAACTAGTGGGACTTCTGCATGTGAAAACGGTTTTCCATAGGCATTAAAGTGCTGAATGCTCAGTCTGATCCCCAAGTGGGCACCTGCACTACCGATTTTTAGAGGAAATTCACTCCCTCATAGTAAGAATTGAAAGGTCAAATTATTTTGAAGTGATTTTTTTTTAAAAAGTCTTCTGTTTATTAACAGGAAAATTTATTTATTTGACAGGATTTTGAGTAATGTAGGAATACAAAAGGTAAATTAGCAGCACATATAATTTTTTTTTTAATTTATGATCCATTTTGTATGGTCTCAAAGTTGGATGACCTCATTACTAATATTTGTTGTAAAAGTGAAACTTGTTTGCCAACCAATAAACAACTGATTGAGATTTAGAAGATATTGTATTGATGTATGTACTATATGATTAATTAGTCTTTTTATTTTTCTCGCCTTTCTTTCCTTCTGTTTTCAATACATAAACTTTGCTAATCCTCCATGGCCCAAATGAGCCATGCAAAAGAAATCACTCTGCCTAGATGAATAAGCTAAGCACAAAATCTTACAGGTTTGCAGACAAAGTAAACCAGAAAAATGGAATGGGCATGTTTATTTTGGCTGAAATCAGATGCATCACTTAATTTTGAGCAGGTTAACATATATGTTACTATTTACTATCTAAAACCAGGTGCAGTCACTATGCTTACCTTTAAAAATAGATTCAATCAGAGATATAAATATCAAATTTGGGGTCTGGGTGAGTCATATTTTTTTCCTCCTTTGTACATTCCATTTTGATGTTAGAAATTCAAATTTCCTGAATTTGCTAAAAGCTGCAAAGAGAATATTCATTTTATAAAGATATAATAAGACTTTTATTGTGTTTTTTTCTTATTCTATGTGATGGAAATAGGAAAAGATAAAGAAGTTCTTTCCAAGAAATTTTCTAGATCTCTCATTACTGCAGATCCTTTATAGCAGTGTCCAGGTACAGATCCCCTGTTACGGCAAAGCTAAACGGAATCTGCCAAATTATAATTTCTCCTGTGGCGTGTTTTATCTTGGGGTTTCCTTTTTCAAAAATCTAAACACTATCCATCTATAAATGACTATCTTAAACCAAGTTTAGAGAATGGCCAATAATCTGTATATAGTTTATAAATACATGACAAAAAAATTTCTGCTAGGCCAGAGTGCATCATAACCTTCACATCACCTCAAAATATTTTATGTATCATTCCTTTTTAGTCAATTGGCATGAATATTTTTTAAGTCTACAGATTTTATGTTGGAGGAGAATGACAAGCATTAATGGTAATTCGGTTTTCTCACACCACACTATGGCAATATTAGCACGTCCAAGGCGTTTAACCCACCTGATACGTAGAATACATTTGGCAATAAAAGAATCCTTTTTAGATGTGTTTATGGTAACTTCAGAAACACAAATGTGGTCTGTGGATTATGAGCACTTATGCTTGTTTTGTCAAACAGTAACCTACATGAAAGTATCTCTGTCAGTAAGAAGCTGGTTTCACAGAAAAATGGGGAAACTACCTCAATTCAGCTTGCTGATTTTCTGACATTGCTACCTCCCTGCCCATTATTTTTGTGTTTCTATATGGAAAATTGAAGCAGGTAGCCTCTCAAGCTCTACATAGACCAAGTTGAAGAAAGATCACTTGAATACATGAACTGGTGCAGAAGAACATTCAGCATATAAAGTTACTACCACGCTCTTGCATCAAGAAAAAAGAGTGAGATTTTTGAACTCTATACATCATAAATGGCATGCTTTCAGAGAGACTTAAGATCCCAAAGATTATAACAGAGAGAGATTTCCCCTGCAAGTTTTATGTAACCATAATAAAAAATTAAATTGGATAAAGGAACTAATTTTACATACATTTCAATAGAAATTTGCATATATCTAATGTATTCATTTTGCCCTGTTTACACTAGCAAGGGTTGAATTCCTGAACTTGAATCTTCTTCATATACATTTTCTTATAGAGCTGTTGATGATTGATGATTTTTAAATTTTTCTTTTTTCTACCATCTTTTGTGACTCAATTTTTTCAATATCCTGAGACATTTATGATCTGCTTATCTGTATATTTTTATGTGTTCATCTGACTTTCCAGTAAGAAGTGAATTTCCATCAAACAGATATACTATAGAGCTATAATACAGCTTATTTAGCCAGTTAGAAGTAAAACTTATGCCACTGAAACAAACAAATGTTTACTTTCTTGTCAAATAATATTTTTGTAACATTTTTAGACTTGGTTGTTTTTCCTCTTTGAAGTCTAGTTCACATGATATTTTATCAGGGACACTAGCTAATGGACCTCATGTTCAGTTAATTCTGAAGCTGATGGATTGTTGCACAGCCCCTGTTCCTAATTGATAAATATTTGTGGCAAAGTCCAAATTTGGTGAAGGAGAAATTGGTTGGAATTAAATTTTATGGGCATCCCTTCCTGTTTCCACTATATTATAATTAAACACACTGAAGTTGAATAATAAATTACTGTGCTAAAATAATTATAATAACAAAAACGAACTGACAGAACAATTATCTTGAAGTAACAATCAGGAAAATACATTAATAAAAAGCAGGTAAGGGAAATATCCTTAACTTCCTGTAAAAAAATAATTCACAATGCCTCTAAATTAAGATGTAGTTTATCATCTGTATTTTAAAATATCCATCATAACTAAAAATGTTGACATATTAAGGAAAGGATCTTTAAGATTTAGGTTTAAGATTTTTATCAATATTGATTGGTATGACAAAACTTTTCATAATAGATATAAACATATAAGGGAATTAGTAACATTTATAAAGGACCCACATATTTAATTTTAGGCATTGTCTTCAGCTTGCCTGGATCCCCAACACATGTTGAAATGTTATTGTCAAGCTTGCTTACTTTAAGGAATGACATTAAAAACTTTGACTGACTTTCTACATTACTGTAAAGACCAAAAGGGAGAGGAAAAATAGTTTATGAGTTGTCTAAAGATCAACTCCAGACTAATCTATATCATCCCCTAATAATGAAGAAACAATTTGTGTTTATAATTTGTCTATCAGTACTGTACCAAAGTGCTACTGCTTGGATTTTTCTGCTGTATTAAAGAGATGGGGTCTTGCTCTGTCACAAAGACTGAAGGGCAGTGGCACAATCCCAGCTCACTGCAGCCTCAGACTCTTGGTCTCAAGTGATCCTCCTGTCTCAGCCTCCTGAGTAGCCGTGATTACAGGTTTGAGCCACAGCACTTAGCCTGTGATGTATTGTGGAGGGGAAAAAACACTACAGAACTACAATGCATGTCAATTCATTTAGAGAGTGAAAAAACCAAAAACTCAAAGTCTTAATTTTTTAGTTTTGAGCAGATCTGAAGATATTGTCATGAATATCCCTTTCTTCTCTAAGAAAATTTGTGAGATAAAATAACAATATATATGAACTTCCCAGTATATTGTAGACCAAGGTGTTGAAATTTAATTAGTTCATTTCTAGTGATTCATAATTTTAACTTACCACATAAACAATTACTATGCATTTCTAAGTAATGCTTTCAATATAGCTTATGTTAGATTTCTGCACATCATTAAATTAGGAAGATGGAGGCACAAAAGCAAAGCAACAACATTGCACAATAGATTATGGAAGCATTATTGTGCAAATGGATTTTACATAAGAAGCTTTTTTGAGTTCATAAAATATATTCAATGGATCCCAACATTAAATTTAATTTTGTAATCAGCAAATATGTTCTTTATAATATCTGAAGAATATTAAACAACTAAATTTTCATCTTTAGGCTAGCAGAACTTAAATGTGTTGGTAGTTGCTTCTTTCCTGATTAGGCCATAAGAAGAAACTTTCTTATTTACTAATTAACACTGATTACACTCTCTTTGGTTTAAAAGGGAAAGTTTCACCTGTACACAGACTAACACACTCTGATTCCACTTATTTACAGCCTGCAGAAGAAATAGCTTGTTTACGATATTTAAAACTTCGTGATTTCTGCAATAAAACAGGTAGTTAATATAGTTTTGCATAATGTTATTGAAAGATATTGCTATCCCTTCTTTATTTGAAAAAAAAATTAAAGTCAGCATTTCTTTCACATCTAGCACCTCTAAGTTACTATTCAAATGTCTTGATTTCAGCTAAGTTTTGATGTTTCTTTTTCTCTTAGTAGTGTGTCAAGAGCATTGTTCTCATTTGATGATTTGTGTCCCATTAGAGTATTTCAAAGGTAAATGCAAACTAATTTTTAAGAAGAATTGTGAAAGAACTTTGACTTATGTGAAAAAATCAAGAATGACTATACATGAACAAATCTCTATTGGGGTAAACAAGTCTCTTCAACTACAATATGAACAACAGAAGAGCAGAAACCAACCAAGTTAGCAAACTTATGGTGAGGTGACAGGACCTAAACTAGAGTTACAGAGAAAAGTTTCCCAGGAAAGAATAATGAAGTCATTTGCAGTGATAAAAATCTTATAGACTATGCCAAATGTTACAGGTGTATTCCAAAAAGTAAAATTGGAGTTTCTTATATTCTGATATTCTGCTAATTCCACAGGAAACAATAAATACTTTAAACACTCTTGAGATATTTCTTATCTAGCTATACCTTGTCTCAAGGAAACATCAATATTTTATAAATGTTTCTTAAATATAAGTATTTTGTCTCAATTCATCTTCACTCTCTAATCTGCTGACTCTATTCAACACCAACAGAGCTAATGCTTTTAGTAGCTTTGTACTGTTTAGAGCTCTATTATGAATCTTTCTAATACATATGAAATTAATATTATATTAGAATTATGTACATTGTACAAAATAATTCATAACCAAGCAATATTCATACTATAGAATAATTTATTATTATATATATGAATATTACATTGAGACTGAACAAATAACTACTCTGCTCCAAATATTACTCTCAAGTTCTCTGCCTTTAATTATTGTAGTCAATTCATAAAATTCTACATACAGTTGTATATGGTGGGTTATCAAATACTCCATAATCCAAATGCACCTAAAAGTATTCCCAATGCTCCTTTCATTCTAGAATACTAAAGGAAAGAGTTTGAAAGAAGAGGAAAGTAAAGCAGGCTTCTAACTATACAATTTAAACATGGCCATTCAGATTGAATAATTTTTAAATGATGATGCTCCACTCTTTGATCTATAGATGAGGTTACAAAAGATTTACAATTAGTTCAAAATCAGAGGATTTTAAATCTTAAAGGAGTTAAGTTCATCTCAATGATCCAAGACTACAAAAATTCATGCTAAATTGGCAAGGAAATATGTTTAAAACCAAGACCTAAAATAGCTTTCTAAGTTTAAAAATCCCTGTGTTTCTTCTGAATGTAAAACAGGCAAAATGATCCTGACTTCAAAATGAAATATACTGATTGTTATTAAAAGATGTTTGGCAAAGTTAAGTCAGTATCTTCAATGCTTTAGCAGTAGGTAGAAGTCTTTGGGGTTGGAACTCAGGATACAGTGACTAGGACAGAGTATATTCTTAGACTAATCAGTGCCTAGTCCTCTGGAGTATTTTTTTAATGCCCTGAATTTCAAGTTGTCAAACTGGTTTACATATTGAATGACATTTTGAATCAATAAAAATGAGAAAAAACATTCAAATTTGGTTTTCATGTCTCATTTGAGAATAAGGATTTCCTTCATCACCCTAAGTAATAAAAACTGATATGTCTTGAAACAACTACAGATAATCAGAATGTGTTCATTTATAAAGTATCACTTGTTTGTATATTTTAACGCTGACCTTTGCCTGTGAACTAGAAAATCAAGATTTGTAGAGTCAGGTTGATTTGCCTTCATTTGATTTCTGCGAATGCATTGGAAGTGGATGGATAACTTGGAAGTTTTTCCATACTGTTTTCCGCCTTGCCAAGCATTAAATCTAATTCAAAATATGTCTTTCTAAAAAACAGTAGTTTATTTTTAAAACTAACAACTAATTGTCCTATTCCTTGTTGATAAGAAAACTCACTTTTTAGAAACAAGTATAGCTATTGTGGCTTTGGTCTCCTAGGATCCTCATATATTTACACATGGCGTTATTCTTTTCATATACACCTACCAGATTTCAAGCTATTGGATATTTCCCTTGTACAACCTTTACATCCTTTTTTTTTTTTTCCTTAAATGCTCTGTACAATCACATGTAAAGTCATCAGCTACAAACCTCAATAAAAATATCAGTAAACAAGAAGTGATGTAGTTACTGTTATTATATGGTATTACCAAAACTTTGATTTTGGGATAGTGTTTCAAATTTCAGGATAATAACTGAAACATGGGTTCCTAATATATTTCCTATGTCCACTACCTCACACCCTGCCACCCTCCCCTTCATGCATTGAAAATATAATGAAAGACCTTTTTAACTTTTGTTTTCAGAGAACTGCTGCCACCAGAGGCGTCTATAAGGCAATTTTTCTCTTCCAGAAAGATAGAAAGTTAAATTAAGAATTTACTGTTTGACCTTGAAATTTGCCATTAATGAGATATAATCAAATTTAGTCTTATATCTACTGTCTGGTCGTATTTCTCCTTATCTCAAACTAGGGAGTAGGACAGTCAGTCACCAACCAACCTCTGGTCCAAATAAGAGTTTAGAGCTATGCGTTCTGACATGTCATTCTTCTTTTGAATAAAAAGTTGTATATATATTAGTAAATATTTTGGATCACAAAGATAGATGTCATATAATCATTATTCTGTAGTGTCACGGATTCTGATTATTTAGCTTACTAACTCTGAATGTCGGTTGAATGAGCGCAAATATCAGCTGGATAAATCAAATTCAGATACCAGTTTTTTATAACATTGAAAATTCATTTCCATAAGAAATATTCAGCAAAGGAAATGGAAGAGAATCAGCAGCTCCTGAGTGCCTAGTGTATGTCTGGCCCTTTACATAGCCTCATTTGATCTTCCCAATAATGTGACAAAAGGGAATATATTACTGTGTACTCCTTTTATGGAGGAAACTGAAATTCAGATCTCACAGTCACAGAGCTATTGTGTTTTGAACCAAAATCTCTATTTATTAATCATTTTATACTGCATCAACAAAATGATTAGTTGAAAAGAAATGAACCAAACCCTTTTCATTTAAATAAGGGGAGGAAACAGGCATTTGAAGAAATGTTGCAATAACGTGGAACTCACAGTTTATGTGAACCTGCTTTATAAGGTATTTAATATATCTATAAATATAATATATACGTACAAAGATAGAAAGAGATCAATATATCTATTTCTATTTATCTATCTATCTATTGAGAGAGAAGAGAGGCCTGACTTTTGAATTCTGGTTCTGTCACTTATTCTGTAAGTTTCAACAAATTAACTTCTCTAAGAGTAGGGTTTCTCATCTCCAAATATCTAAATACAGCATTTTGTCTGTGATACACATATATATAGTGTACTAGGTACGCATAAAATTCTCATCCAGGAAATTCTTAAACAGATTCTGGGGTAGTACTAAGTACATTTTGCTGGTGTCTTGTTGATTCTATTAGTCCTCTCACCCCCAATAATGGTTAGATAATAGTAATCTGTTTCTGAAATCAAATTCTAGTTAAAGTTCCACTTTAATATGTATGGCTGGCTCATTTGATTGTTATGGCATGTATAATAATTAGAAGTTTATGTACAGAAATTTTCAAAATTTAATCTTTACACTACAGTTTTAACAACTGTATTTCCAATGTGATAACACATCATTTTGTAGTCTATTTGCAGCAGTTTGCACCTGATAAAAAGAGATGGCATTGCACTTCAGCCTGGGCAACAAGAGCGAAACTCTTTCTCAAAAAAAAAAAAAAAAAAAAAAAAGATGGTTCTAAGTTTAAATACATTTAGGAGATGCGAAACGAAATACAACACAGATTTTTAAACTGTAGGATTTCAGAGAATGCACTGCAAAACTCCAAGAGGAGCATATATTGTGCTGTTTACTAAAATTGTTTGGACCTGAAATCCTCAAGGAATCTGAAGAGCAATACATTATGAACCTGTTGATTCATGAAACACAGTTTGTGAAACACCCCTCAAAATATTTTTTTACTATTGAGTTTTTTTTCTGAATATTTTATGTTCATGAAATACTGGAGGTGTGACTCCTCCAATACAGGTATTAATTGGCTTTATAACTCATGATTTAATATTTTTAAAGTATCCCCACTAAATTTCTGCTGCTAATCTTTAGGTGAAGAAAGAAAAATTGAGACTAATACTGCCCTAAGAATTCTGCCCTAACCGTAGAGTCTCTATATTTTAATATAGCTTCCTATCTTCTAATATCAAGTATCTATCTGGCTGCAGCAACTGGAGGGAAAAGGAGACTACCTGCAAATAACTGCAGAGATGCCTGCAAATAAATGAAATGGAAATCTTGTTAAAATGCAAATTTGGATTTTTGTCAGTCTTTGGGGGTGAGGGGTCTGAAGTGGTGCATTTCAAACAAGTGCTCAGTGATGACTCTGCGGCTCTTCCAGCTATTATCAGGGCACTTGGGCTTTCTCCATGTCTTCCATATGCCTGTGATCAGGTTTATTATTTCCTCTGAGTGGTAATTTTTAGGTACTAGGAAATATATTATAGGAAAGGAGAAAAACATGTCTAGATGTTGCTCAATTTTACCAAAAGATAAATATGTTTTGATATTTGGAAATAAATACAGCGTATTCTCAAAGCTGGTAATGGTTACAACGGTACTGAAGCTAAAGCCACGGCTCTTTTAGTCCAGCATGTTAGGTGAAAAACGTCATGGGAAAAGGATACACACACACACACACATGCATGTATGTGTGTGTCTGTGTGTCTTATGTGTTTATGTGTATGTCTCTGTGTAACTGCATATATATAATTGCATATATATGTAAAATATACACATATACATGAAGTAATTGCTTATCATGAAAAATGATCTTAGCTAAGTGTTATTTTTCTCATAAACACTTATCTAAGACATGGTGGAAATAGCTATTAGAGATAACTAACATTTTTAGCATGTGAAACATTAATCTGACTGTTGCAATTGGAGATACTTGCTGGTCTTATCTTTGTGTAAAGTGGAGAATAATCACATAGGTAGGTATGACAAGAAGTGAAAAATTAAAGAATGTCCAGGAAGTAATATCACTTTGAATTTTATAAATACTTTTTAAAAATATCAATTATAATTTTTTGTTTCATTATAATACTAAAAACTTTATTGCTAGCAAATAATCTTCTTTGATTAAAATATCTCATAGATAAAAGTGAACTTGTTTTCTCTATTTACCTCTGAGACACGTTATTCAGGATTTACTGCCATTAATGGCAGTAGAAAATATAAATGTTTTATCCAAAAGTTTCAAGGATGTTAACTGCTCTGAAGATTTTATGTATACATTGAAATAAAAGATCTTGTCCAGATTGGTGATTGTGTGTTAAATGTATTAATGTCAAAACACATCATTGTATTAAACAAAAATGTCTAATTATGAATTAGATAATCCTTATAATGAACATGGTCTTTCAGATAATCATAATTATCTGAAAGCAAGACTCATACTGAATTTCCAAGATATTAATTCTCTTTATGTTTCCAATTGGGAAAAAAAACTTCACTAAAATATTTTATTTTTATTTTGATATTCATGCTTTGCTTACCACAAGATGTAAAGAATTTGTATTTGATATTTAGTATACAGCCTTAATTCCATGAATCAAGCCCATATTCCAAAAATTGACAATTAATTTTAAATGTTGGGAAGAAAAGATAAGGTGTACTCAAATAAAATTCCGCTTGTCTTACCCTTTATACCTCTTAAAGTTGGTCATTTCTCACATCTTAGAAAGTCTTTAGCACATTGTTAATTCTATCGTTCCATTGTAACTGATGAAAACAGAATTCCATTAGTTTCCATTAATGCGGAATAACACAGTAAGAAGAAATAGACAAACTGGAAAAATGCATAAAAACTTTTTTTAAAATAATTTCAACTTTTATTTTAGATTCAGGGGGTTACATATGCAGACTTGTTACATGGGTAGACTTTGTGATGCTAAGGTTTGGGGTAAGAATGGTCCCATGACCCAGGTAATGAGTCGAGTACCCAATAGGTAGTTTTTCAGCCCTAGCTTAGTCTTTAGTTTAAATTTTCATTTATCAAATTTTCATGATTTGTTAGGCTTTTTCCTCTATAATCTAAAATTATTTAATTAATAGAAATTTTTTGCAGTTGCAAACTATGTGTACATACGTTGCCTAAAAGATTAAAAATAAATAATGATATTATTTGGTTTTTAAAAATGGAATAATATTCAAGAAGACAGAGTCAAGACTGATTACTGACCCTATGAAAAATACAATAATTCAGTGTTACATTTTAGTCACTTATTTTGGAAAGACCTTGATAAAACTTATCTTTCTATTTTCAAATACTGTGAAGGTCAATAGAGTAGTTTTGTATTTCCCAGGCTTCCCTACATTAGAATCACTAGAGCACATTAAAAAGAAAAAAAAAAAAGTCCAGGTCTCACACCACACTTATTAAATCAAAATCTCTGGGAGTGGTTCTCAGGTATAAGTAAATTCTAAAAGCCCTCCAATGATTCAATGTGCAGTTTGGGCTGAGAATCACAGAGTTAATTGCTTAATGAATATTAGGTATTTGCATTAATCATGTTTAAATATCCTTGAAATATTTAAAAACATTTTAAATGTTTCTTACTTTTTAAAGCAAGAAAGAAAGATGAATAAGGAAGTTCAAAATAGAAAATTTCTTGTCCCCAGATGAATCCAGCTAATTGCCTAAATATGGTTTACCTCCCAGTTTATAAAATGGATAGTATATTATTCAAGTACAAAACAACTTGATTATTAAATCATCTTTTTCATGATTTAATTCACAGAATAAACATTCTTTTTAAAAATATCTGTGTTTCTATCATCATTTGAGGGGATTATGAATATTATCACAGTAGAAAGAGGTCAGTTATTAACTTTAAATCAGGCAGAATCACAGACACATATCAGGAACTATTTACATGGAACAAAATCAAGTTTTTCTGGAAAATTTAGCAATCCTTGGACCATATGTCTACATGGCATTTAGTACAGCGTAACAACTATCAAAAACCTACTCTTTGTAAAACTTAGTTGTGTATAATTCCATAGAGTAAAGCTATAAGCTGAAGGATTGTCATGTTCTTATT